GACGGTTGGGTCAAGGTGGGTTCAGGGTCGTCTACAGAGGGTACATCATCGATTTGGATGCGACGGTCGCGGTGAAGAAAGTCTCGAAGGGATCAAAGCAAGGAAAAAAAGAGTACATAACCGAGGTGAAGATCATTAGTAGCCTAAGACATCGCAACTTGGTGCAACTCGTAGGTTGGTCCCATGACAAAGGTGAATTCTTACTTGTCTATGAGTTCATGCCAAATGGTAGCTTGGATTCTCACCTATTTGGCAAGAGGGTTCCTCTTACTTGGGGTGTAAGGTACAAAATTGCTCTTGGTTTGGCCTCGGCATTACTATATCTTCATGAAGAGTGGGAACAATGCGTGGTACATAGGGATATCAAGTCAAGCAATGTAATGCTAGCGGGATTGTGGTTTTGGAGATTGTCACTGGGAGAAAATTGGCTGATCTTGTGGACAACAAGACATTGTTGGCGTGGGTTTGGGATCTGTATGGTAGCGGTAAGCTTCTATCGGCTGTTGATGAGCGACTTCAAAGGAGTTTCGACGGCAAAGAAGCCGAGTGCTTGATGCTTGTGGGGATGTGGTGTGCTCACCTTGATTGCAGCCTTAGACCGTCAATAAGGCAAGCAATTCAAGTTCTGAATTTCGACACGGAAATGCCAAATCTTCCGGAGAAGATGCCTTGTCCAACTTACCGAGTCCCCGCGAAATTCGACCTCAGATGTTCAAACCTCAATCTAATCTAATCACTCAACCATTATGGTTATTGGGGTTTGTTTGTAAGTTTGTAGCTTGTCTTGGTTAGGTTTCAGTTGATCATATGTCTGTCTAAATGACTGCTTTGCCAAGAAGAAACCGGTTTCCTCATTATGTAACCTCAAACAAGTGACATATGAAATTATGAATAAATTATCTTTAATGAAATGAATGTGACTGTATCTGTAATTTTCATATATGTTTTTTGTATTTCTCATCTAGGCTTGAACTTTACTGCTTCGTTACTGCATTAGAGCGTAGAACAAGTACTGCTTTCAAAAAATATCGTCTAGAACTGATCAGAATGAAATGGCAGCCACTTAGCGAGAATTTATCCTTTGATTGTTTCATAGACTTTCGTTTTTATTACCGTACGTACTTTATCAATGTAAAGATTTAAATAAATTTGAATTTCTATTCAAACTTTCTGTTCAAGATTATTAACGAAATGTGGATGCTAGAAACATTATTCTCCGCGATGGTTTTTTAAACTTGTATCAAATTAATATATGGCATTGTTGGTTGTAAGAGAATATTAATACTTCTATGGCTACGATTAATATAGAAGTGGCTGAGAGAGGCATAAAACTTTACGTGAGTGAATAGTAATGTCCTCTGTTTCATTCATTATTACTGCAAAGTTTTGTTTTTTTGTTTTTTGTTTTTGTGAATTCACAGAAAATATCTACGTAACTTTATTTTAGCTTAAATAACAACAATATATTTTCACTTCAAACACATCTAGAACGAAGAACAAGGGAAAAAACAAAAAAAAACAAAAAATACTGAGCTTTTCTACTTTGCCTTTTCGTACAAGGTAAACGGAAAAGAAGCTGAAGAGTCATATATTTTATAACTCAATATCTAATCCATATATTCGGCAAGCAAATGACATTAATCCGTACTTAACCAACTCAAATTGACCAATAAACCTTAATGGCATCTTCTCTGAAGTGAAACAACAATAGCTTCTAATATAAATACAACCATAAGAAGTCAAAATGACACTATTGCACAAGTAGAATAAGTAGAGGAAAATCCTGTAGATATTTATTTTATAGTTGTATTCCTTAAAAATACAGCTTATGTCTCAATTATTATAGTTTTTGGAAAAAGAGTAAAACTGTACTATGGGTTCGACTGATCATTTTTTTTTAAAAGGTAACATAGTTATTAATTCTCAATAATTTGAATTAAATATTCCTTAAAGATTAATGAGCTGAAAAAATCAAAAATATTTTTCTAAAAATGCATGAAAGAAAAAGAAAACAGAAAAACCTTCTAATTAGAAGAATTATCAACGAAACGGAATTCATTTGATTGACAAATATTAAAAGGGTGTTTTTTATAAAAAGAAAAAAAAGTTATTCCAATCATTTAATTGACAAATACTAAGAATGCGTTTGATATGAGATAATCTTTGGAGAGAAATGAGAATCTGCATCGTATTTCTTCTATACGTTGATACAATAAATAATTTTTCTTTCATTCCAGGAAAAGTCAATCTTACCCTACAGATCAGATTTCATCATTGGAGTTGCCAAAAGTTCCATCACCAAACGTCACAAAGATTTTGTTCTTGGGATACTAAGAGCCCGTTTGGTAAAGGGATTCGTTCCCTGATTCGAATCATGATTCG